TAAATTCTATTATCTTTTAGCCCAGTATACAAGTATTCTCATAGCCTAATACCTTTGCATTTACGCACTCCAACTTGCTGTCAAATCACAGTCAGCTGTGTCCACTGAAAAAATTTAATGTCAGTTCAACAAACTCTCTACTCCCCCATGTTACTGTTAATTTTAAACAGCCAAAGGCACAGGGATACAGCACTCAGAAAAATACTTCTAGGACTGCCAGTATGGTCCATTGGACATTTTGGGTAAGTTTATACTAAAACATTCAAAGGTTCTAGGAGCTAGGCCAGGCCACTCCATAATCAAGGCAGCTAAATAGTTGCTGGCATATTTGAGTCAATTAAGAGTCAGAGATGTCTCTCCCAAACAATTTTCAGGCACTGTTTGGAAGGCAACATGAGTTAAAGACTATTGCCACTAGGCATTTAGGATGCCATTATTCTTTTTCAGACAATAAGATGATTTTACAATATCAGTGTGCTTGTATCAGAAACAAAACAATACTAGAACCCATTTTCTGGTCTCAGCTTCCACTGTAGCTTCTGAGGTCACAGGGGTTGGTGGCATATCTGTTTGCATGTATTTGGCAAACAGTCATCTAAATGATAAATCACTGCTTTTATATATTAGCAAAAATGCAGATTTATTATTTGGGACAAAAAATGCAGGACTTGAACTACAAAAGGAACAACAATGGGTTTATGGTTTGGGGTTTTTTTATAACATATTTTGAAATAAGACAAAAAGTTATATAGTAACTGAAATTTTCAAGGGGATATATATGATCTGATTGTCTAACTGTATTTTGCTGCAGGAAAAGAATACAAGTCCACCATTATTTACAGTTCTTTCAAGCTACAAGGTTGAAAAAGTTCTGCAGGTTACCTTCTAGAAAGATTCATGCCAATAGCCAAGAAATCACTGTCCTAATAGCAATTGTCATCATTTTTAAATGACTAAAATGACTTGAGAGTTTTAAAAGAGAATATTCCTGACTCCCAACTATTATATAGGAACATTTGTACACAAAAACTTGCAGAACACATTATTGACTGAATACATTAAAAATAAAATCACTTACAGATAAGCTAGCATTGCATGACTAAATAGCAAGGGTTTCTGTTCCATCAATTTTTTTAATAAAAAGTTTGGGTTAAATTCATTAATAATGAGAGGTAAGGAAGTTGAATGAAAAATGATTAGTTCCATCAATTTTTTTAATAAAAAGTTCGGGTTAAATTCATTATTAATGAGAGGTCAGGAAGTTGAATGAAAAATGATTGCTAATTTAAGTCCACCATGGAAAAATGAGTGGAAGAAATAATGGAGTTGAAAACATTAAGCAACAGTAGGAATGATGGCAATGAATAAAGTCAAAAGACTAGAAAGGTGAATGCCCTATATGTAAATGTCAGAAGCAACAAGAGGTGATTTTAACCCTGCTTAAACTAATCCTGAAGGCACAAGGTTATCTGTACACATTCTCACTCTACTGATACTATATAATGATTAGAAAGAAATAAATAAAGCAATGTCTCTATGTTCTTTTGAGTGTGAAAAGTTCCATGCTCTTACTCAAATTTGTGGTCCCCTAAAAAAAAAACTTGTTATATTTCCATTTTGATTTCTGCTGAACTCCCTCTGATTAGAGCCCATATCACCTTAGTGGTTACCACTAATAAATGCCTTTACAATTAATTTCCACAAAGGACTGACAGGAGTCTAGAAGGGAACAGAGACTTTTGAGATTAAAATCTAGTGAGAAGACCTCAAATCTACACACTACTTTAAAATGCTTAATTTAAATAATCAAACACAATCATTTGCTTCCTAGACTCCACATCCAGTGGTCAAACTGTCCACATGGACAGCTTCCAGCAAATAATTACACCAACGTCATTTAGGGAATAGCATTTATCCACGTTTTTCTGTTGCAACTAATCATAAGCCCTTCTGGGCAGGTAAATGGATAAATATATAATATTAAAGAATCAGAGAATAATTGAATCAAGGTCTATACTGTTTTGCAACAGTTCTGCTGAGAGAAACATGATGAAGGACCTTTGATTTTCTGAGATTGTCACATATTCTCATTAGTCATCCATAAAATCACAGATAAGTACTTAGCAGTGCACATACATGTGTTTCCAAAAAAAAAGCTCTCACTATAAACTTTTCTAAATTTTCTCTTAGTCTACATATGCTTTAGTAAGTTTTAACTTAATGTTTTTCTGTCTACATATTTCTCCACTTCTGTGACTATGTATTGAAAACTTTGGATTTTTTACATTTACAAATGGAACCTCACTTGGTAATGAAATTTTGAAAAGTGTATGCTGAGTATACAACCAACAGTATATAACCAACAACCCAGAAACACCACTTGATGGAAAAATCTGGGACTGCTTACTTTAACTTGACTTCTATATTCTGTAGCACACAACAAACTCTGGGTCTGATGCTATTGAATGGTACTGTAAATCTTTCACCATAAAAAGGCCTTACTACTCTGGGCTCTATGGAAAATATACTTCTTAAGGTTTCTGCAATGGGAGGCAAGTAATTTATAAAAAGGAATGTATTTTACATTTTGTGTGATAGAATTTTGTGGGGTTTTTTTTTAAATATTTCAAACAAACTGGAGTCTACCAGTGTTTTGGATATATAGGAGTCATTAAACAGGCACTATATATTACTATACAGATATTCTGCCTTAATTCAGATTTAATTATTCTTGAGAATACTTGGTTTTAGAACAACTGTTTGAACAACACCTACTTGAGGTCTTGGGAAGGTTCTGCTCTGATATGGGGTGTCTCCACAGAGTGCCCAAACACTGCCCCTTCTGTGCCTAAAATACATAAATAAAACACAGTACAATTACTTTGGAAAATAAAAATACATTGAAATATATGTCCACAAATTGACAATTTTAGGACAAAATATCTGATTGAATCCTTTATTAATAATTATTAACGTGTCTTCATTTTTATGATTTCATTTCTATTTGAAAATCTAGACTGACATAATGTGAAACTTCTGCTTATCAGCAGATGAATTTCACATACAAATTTGAAAACACTTATAAATCTAAATTTTTCTGCAATGATTTGCCTGACTGCTTATCTCAACACTTTGGAGAATAGCTGTTTTACAGAGAAGGAAAATATTATCATAGGTTTTCTTGACAAAAACACATTAGAGAAATATCTATCAACACTTTGGAGAATAGCTGTTTTACGGAGAAGGAAAATATTATCATAGGCTTTCTTGACAAAAACACGTTAGAGAAATATCTGCTATATTTTGCAAGGTGGTTATTTTGATTGCTTAAATTGAGATGCCAAGTTTCAAAAGTTTTGAAATAACACTCTACCACCTGAAGTTGCTGGCTGAAACTTAGCATCTAACGGCTTCAGAGTTTCCTTCCATCAGACCTTTCTCATTGAAAAGTTTTATTCCCGAAAGAGATTTCTCTGGAATGTCCTTTGCTTTTGGTGTTGGTAGCGGACACTGAATTATCTCCTGTTGAGCTCTCAAAATCACAGCAAAGAAAATCAGTAACAATTTTCTAAAACTGAATTGATTCTCTATTGTATATTAATTTCTATAACTAGGTCCAACTTGAATATGATAATTTCACACTTTGAATTAGATGACTATGATTTTTCATTGAAAAACTCCTTTGCAATGAAAATAGTGTTCTGATAAACATTCACTGAAGTTATTTGAACAAAAGTCCACTATTTACATTAGAGAGGTTTTCTAGTATTCTGAGCCTTGAATCCTGAGTAAACCTAAAAATATACCTACAATATCTCACAGTAGCTGTTCAAGAGTGCTCACCAGAACAGAGGCACCACTTTAATTGCTAGAATATTTAAAATACAATATTTTCAATTATTGTATTTTAAATATTTCGCAAGTGTTTTCAGAAACTTTGGCTGTGAATGGGAGATAGACATTTAGATATTTTGGCAGTTAACCTATAATATTTAGTTAACTGATCTTACCAGGTTTTGAAAGCAGAATGAGGTTAAAAGTGTTGAATTCATAACACCATTTTTCAGTATTAAAGAGAAAAAAGCCTGAGCAACATGCCCAAAAAAACCTAAGTAAACTTTAAACTGCTAATGATTTTCTAAACTCCTTCTTCATTTAAAGAAAAGCAAAACACAAAAAAAACCCCCAAACAAACAAACAAACAAAAACCAACAAAAAACCCAAACAAATAAAAAAACCCCGCAAACAAACAAACAAAAACCAACAAAAACCCCAAACAAATAAAAAAGCCCCAAAACACTCACCCAACCAACCAACCAAAAAAAGCCCTTCATAGTAAAATGGTCTACTAGCATGGAGTATCCAAGAGAAAAAGAGGGGATTTCTGAGAGCAATGAATTAAAGTCCTAGGTTTTTATCTCCAGAAATCTATAAGCTTTACAAATACCTTGGCAAAGAACACTGAAAACAATTTTATTACAACTGCTGCTTTGAAGACCCCACAAAACCCCAACCAAATCCACTTTCTATAACCAAACTTGTTGAGTATTGTGGAGAACCAGAGGGAAAAAACACAACATTAACCAAACTTGTTGAGTATTGTGGAGAGCCAGAGGGAAAAAAACCAACACCTCTTTTTTTCCTAAAAGTATGCATAGAGGTGCTGTGCATAATCTGCTTTTTAAACCTGACATTGCCTTGCAATTCTACTACCTCTAAGAGACAGGAATAACATGTCTCTATGGCCATGTCTTCTGCCACTCGAAATAAAGCTCATCCCAATCCACAGTGGCACACAAGAAGCTCTATGGGACCTGAATACCAAAAATCAGAGTGTGCTTCCAGATCCCATTTATCTTTTTCATCAGGAAAATTAAATACTTTCAAGGCCAAGTGCTTTTTATATTTTTTTCAAGTGTCAGCGAGATATGAAGATAAAAATAACTGAGCAGAATGCAGAGTTGCCAGTCTTTACTTATGAGAAGACCATGACTCTAATGTTTGAAAGAGCAGAATTAATGCAAAATTGTACAAAACGTCACTGCAGTATGAGTCAGACACTAAATAAATCAGAAGTGCCAAAGATAATATCAGACAAAGACTTATAACAATAGCTAAATGACAGCTGGTTCTATGCCAGCATTAGTATCTCCTCACTTTCAGCAGCATTTGGTTAAAAGACGAGAATACATTTCTTCCCTAACAAAATAGAAATTTGGAAAGAAAGACCAAGTTTGTCCAACTAGACTGAAAATCCAGGCAAGCAGAATTAAGGATAAACTGATATAATTAAATAAAATATAGTTATAACTGGAACCAAACCAAATGTGCTCCTTTGGCTATTTGAAGAAGCAATCCTACATATGTTTTCTCTTCTCATACATCCTCTGAAGCAAAAGTATAATAATTCTTGTGGTAAATTCTTTATCTTTAAAAAAAATGTTTTTGTCAAGTTCAAGAATATCTCCAATTCCTTCTGGTTTATAATGGAAGTAAAGCAGGCACTCAATAATTATCCTGGTTTTAGTAAGAAAAGTGAAAAAGATCAGCCATCCAGAATTTACTGACATGTTTCTAGCAGTTAAACAGTAGAATCAAAAAAAAAAATAAATCCATCCAGAATTTACTGACATGTTTCTAAGAGTTAAACAGTAGAATTTAAAAAAATATAAACAGGGATTGTACAGCAAATAAAAGACATGGATCAGCATTACTAAAAATGCACAAGAATTTCAATTTATTATATGCATATCTGTAGTAATGGGAAGATAGGTCATGTAGTTCAGTACTCTTAAGAAATGGTACAACTAACACCTTTTTATGAAAAATCAATATAAAAATATAAATTCAGATCAAAGTGAATAGCATGTCTTTTTATGAAAGAAATATACTTTAGATATTTAATAATTTACAATGTTAAGCAAATTATTTTTTAAAGAAGTAAAAGAAGGTCCTATTAACTGTATTCCCTGACATACAGAATCATAACCAAGACCTACTTTGAGATGAGTAAAAATTTAGCGACAGATGAATGAAGACAAAAAAAAAGAATAAAAAGAACCTTGAAGCCCTTTCAAGTACAGCTCAAAAGGAAGTAGTTAGGGGACTGTATTCAAAGGAACATGAGTTAGAATGGATAACTGTAAAAAGTGAACCTTTCAGAGGAAATAAAATACCAAGGTGCAGAGGGTGTAAAATCAAAACTGTAAGTGTAACTGAATAAAATCAGTCACACCTCCAGCTTCCAGTGGAAGAGAATGAGTTAAGTAAAGACTTCAAAAGAAAGAAGCATATGTGCAGGCTAACTATTGATCAAAGGATACCAGTTCTTATGGAGGTTGCTGGAGAAAACTCACGAAATAGCATGAGACAGGTAAATAAGTGTAAGGAATTAAAGAATACCTTGCCTATCTCAAACACTGTTAAGGCCATGAAAGGGGCTCTCCCTAAGATAAGATGCACTAGGCATCACAGCAGCAACTTGAGATAAGCACACAAGAGATGAGTTTGTGCTAATTCCAGGCCTGGTGGAGGCAAGATCTGGTTAGTACATTCTGATTAGCATATCTAAACAGAAAATTCCTTCTGTGGACACATATCACTGGTCAAACAAATATGATCAAACAGGCAGTATCTGCAACATATCACTGGTCAAACAAATATGATCAGGAGTTATCAAACAGGCAGTATCTGCAGCCACTGACCCCCTCACCCCGAGGAAGCAGCAAATGAAGGCACATCCATCCTTGCTTCACATGCAAATGAAGGAACACACTTCCACATATACCTGGAATTTGGACTGTATAAAAGTGATTGCCCAGATGAACATCTCAGGACCACCACCACCAGAAGAATGACTTGGGACCTCCACTATTGAGAAGTCCAGGGTGAAGATGAACCAACAGGATGCTGTTGGATCCATAAGTGGTGACTCTCTCTCCCCTTCTCTCTCTCACTCACTCTCTTTCCCCCCTGCTCTTTCCTATTTCTTTCTATCTCTCCACCTCACATTTATAATTATAATTAAATAAAACCCATATTATTATCTTATTACATTATTAACATATTATTGACTTCAGCATATGGTCTCATTTGCACCTTAATTTGGGCAGAGGCATCTCTCACTAATCACATTGTAACAATACGCCAAAAATTCAATTCTGTATTTATAGAGAAACCTCTTTATGCATAGCAGATTTATAAACACTAGACCTTTAAAGCATGTTCTTTGACACAGAGCAAATTGAAATTACCCTTTTGTACTGAAACTGAATATTCAGAATTCAGAGAGATCAGTGCAAATGACCCATTTCTGCTCAATTTACTGGTTCCTGAAATTCAGCCTTTAGGAAATGACAAGTTTCATAAAAAGCTATTGAAGTACAACGTTGGTATTTGGTTGTCAATTATATTTTCTTATGAATATGCAAGCTGAGGAAATGTTGTCATCTATGTAACCAGCCTGAAACTGAATATTCAGAATTCAGAGAGATCAGTGCAAATGACCCATTTCTGCTCAATTTACTGGTTCCTGAAATTCAGCCTTTAGGAAATGACAAGTTTCATAAAAAGCTATTGAAGTACAACGTTGGTATTTGGTTGTCAATTATATTTTCTTATGAATATGCAAGCTGAGGAAATGTTGTCATCTATGTAACCAGCAAATAATCCTCTTGTAGTTTATGAATATTTAGATTATATAACAAAATGGTACCTTTCAGTGACTTTATAACCAGCTTGGATGCAAAGACTGGCACATGAGATTTATATTTTTTCTGAGAAGAATGCTGACTGAAGAGTTGATAAGCCAAGAATTGAAAACTAACAAATTATATTGCTGCAGAAAAG